GAACGATCCCTGTCTCATGGTGCCCACCGGGAACCGTTCCTCACAGCCGCCCCAACGTCCTCCATCATTATGTAGATGAACTGTTACATTTAGCTACTCTGCTAACACTCGGCTTTAAGCTGGTCTTTCGAAACATTTTTATATCTGTCAACGCCTGGCCTTAAGACCTGGGTTGTCAGGCTTGAGGGTTTGTCATCGGAGAATTTAAAAGTGAACCCAGAAAGCGTCACGGCACTCCCAGTGTCTGTGGAACCCTGAAATCACCCACTCCCAGTTCTGTGAAGCCTGAATCACTCCACTCCCAGTGGTCCTGTGAACGTCGATCAACTCAACCCCCAGCCGTCCTGTGAACCTATCGAACTCACGTCCCAGCCGTCTTGTGAAACCTGATCACCTCACTCCCAGTGTCTGTGAAGCCCTTGACCACTCACTCCCAGTGTCTGTGGAACCCCTGATCACTCACTCCCAGTGTCTGTGAACGCTGCATCACCTCACCTCCAGGTGTATGTGAAAGGCCCTGATCACTTCACGTCCAGTGTCCTGTGAACCCTGATCACCGCACGGTCCCAGTTGCTGTGAACCCTGACCCACTACTCCCCAGGCGCTCTGTGAAGCCCTGGTCACTCCCCCAGTGGGTCTGGGAAACCCTGATCACCCAACTCCTCCAGTATCTGTGAACCCTGATCACTCACTCCCAGTGTTCGTGAACCCCTGATCACCACCCCAGTGTCCTTGAACCACTGATCAAACTCAACATCCAGTGGTCTGTGAACCTGGACCAGGGCCCCTGAATTCACCCACACTGCCCAGCGTCTGTTGAAACACCTGATCACCCACCTCCCAGACGTGCTGTGAACCGACTGATCAACTCCACTCCACGTTGGTCTGTGGAACCCTGATCCACTCACTTTCCCAGTGTCCTGTCAACCCTGATCACTCACCTCCCAGTGGTCTGTGGCAACCCCTGACTGCCCCCCGTGATCACATCCTCCCGCAGCGTCTGTGAACCTGATCACTGCATCCAGTGGTGCTGTGAACCCTGAATCACCCACGTCCAGTTGGTCTGGTGAACCTGATCACTCATCCAACGTGGTCTGTGAACCCTGATCACTCACTTCCCCAGCTCTGTGGAACCCCTGATCACCCACTCCAGTGGGTCTGTGAACCCTGCACCTGGCCTGATCACCACCTCCCAGTGTCTGTGAACCCTGGATCACCCACTCCCCAGTGTCTGGTGAACCCTGAGCCAACCCACCCCAGTGTCTGTGAACCTGGACCGACCCACGTTTGCGACAGAGTCTCACTCTGTCGCCCAGGCTGGAGTGCAGTGGCGTGATCTCGGCTCACTGCAACCTCTGACTCCCAGGTTCAAGGGATTCTCCTGCCTTAGCCTCTTGAATAGCTGGAATTACAGGCGCCCGCCACCGCGCCTGGCTAATTTTTG